GCTTATTTTTTTAGGATAATTTGCTAACGTATAGGAGATAAAGGATGTAGCTACTAATTATGGTGTCTTTTAATAGGAGATAGAGAGGTGTTTTAGGAAAAGAATGAGAACATGTGTGTGCAGGAGTATAAAATATAGCCACTTTAGTACCTATAATATCCGTAGTACCAATAATAGGCACAGTATATTTTAGGTAGCATTGTATGTCACAGACTTTTGTAGGTATTAGATGAAAAAAATAGGCCCATTCGTGATACATTTTGGTATGGTAGGATATGTGCTGCCTAGGTGTCTGGTTTGTCCTTGGGTGCAGAACATGTTACTGAAGCAGTTTGAAGCTGTTTGAAGTGAAGCTGGCTCTTGTGATCACAGCCACTTCATAAATAAGATAACTATCTTGTACTCTCATCTTTTAGTGGTGAAGTAAGGTAGAGTTTTCCTGTTGTGTGCCTTTTTTTGATCAAGGTGAAATTTGAGAACAGAGCGGAAGACTGAAAGAAAACTTCGGGGTGAGTAGGAATGATGTTACCAGTAGTTTTCCTACAGGCATCCTCAAGTTGCTTGGCCTGTAGCTCTTCCCTTAAATAGCTGGATGATGATACGCTTATTAGGATACGTCAGCATCGTGTAATACCTGGTTTCACAGCTAGGTGTGTGGCAAGTATCTTATTTTTTAATGGTAGAGTTTTGAATTTTGGTAAGTAATTTTATGATCTTACAAAGCAGCACATTATCTGTGCAACATACTCCTTTTTGGCTCTCACAGAAAATCTTTTTAGTAATGTAACAATCTAAATCTGGTCTCTCAGATTGTAAGCCATCTATCAGTAAAGCTGTTTAGAAGCTGGAGGTTGGAAACCAGCTGGAAGCTGAGAGAGCATGGTAGCAGCTAGAAAAGGTAGCCGTGATTTCAGTAGAAGGTTTTTGGTGGGGTGGTTTTTGTTTTGTTTTTGTTCAGTCGGTACTGAATCAGCACTATTATACAATGTGCTGTTGGAAGTGCTCTGTTCTGGCTGGAATGTGAAACTGAGAAGTTCACTCGTCTGATGAGCATGCATTTGAAAAGAGAGGTAACAGTTGGGGTTGTGCAGACCGTTGTCTCAGTAAGAGGGGCAATTAGGGTGGTACTGAGCTGGTTTAGTTCTGAGTGCAGCCTTCATTATTGCTGTGCTCCAGCTTGAAGCTTGATGCAGACCAAGTCTGAAACTTCCTGTAGTTAAGATGTTTTAAGAATAAAACCGAGTATAAGAAGGCTGTTTAGCTTTATGGTTATGTTTTTAATATCTAAATCGACCACTGCTGTAGAACAGTCTTTGTTAGTCATCATCAGGAATTACCTAGCTATGAGTGCTTGTGGCCACTGTCTGGCAGTAACAGACTTCTCTTTTTAAAATGAAAACCAAACACTTGCCAATCTCCATTAAATACGTCATGCCACTAGTGTCACTTTTGCTAGAACTTACAGACCACAACTTGATAGAATTTAACAATTTTTTTAGTTATTTTCTGTATCCTGTCAGATTATTCTAGCTGCTGGTAGATCCACTTATTTCAATAGTCTTATAGCCTGTGGTGACCACTTTTTAGTTGTGTTTAAGCAAAAAAATGGGATATTACTACAAGACCTGTCTCTTGCCATATTGAGTTTTGGTTTTGCAGGGAGCAAGTTTGCTTGTCACTAAACTTGGATTTGTTCCGTGTTCACTGGGAAACCAAAAGAAGGTTGACAAGTTCTGTATTTTTTCCACTTTGCTTTTTTTTTCCAAATATATTTGAGATGTTGAAGACACTTGTACACAAACCTCTTTCTTCCATTCGTTATTCTGATAGATTATTTCTACCTCCTCTGCTAGAGTTTGAAGAATGAGTCTGAAGTTCTGAAAATCCTTGTGGGTTTTTTGACAAAGGATAAAGAATACTCAGAGCTGAGAAATAATTCTTGTCAGTGAAGAATTGGACTGACACCTAATTTGACTTGTACAAAAAGCTTTGCTGCATTAATGAGGTGGATGCTCTGGAATATGCATGTTAATTGCCAGCTCTGAATTGACAGGTGCTTAGGTTACTATGATGGTTTGCCAGTAGAGGTGGGCATTTCGGGACTTACTGGTCACATGTATGCACCTGCCAGCTTTTTTCCCTGGAAACGGCAGAATTTGCTCAGGTGAAGACCAGTGAAAATTTCTGAGTTGAGTAAATTTGAGGCAGTGCTTCTAATGAACATGATATTACTGGTGGTGTTCCAGTGCCTCAGTAGTTAGCGTTAACCACGTACCTGTGGTGAGGGTAAATTAGTTTTTTGTTCAGTTTGTTGTGCTCTGGCTGTGATTAGATTGACTGCTTTTTTCAGCAGCTCTTCTGCTCTGGCTTCTTTCCAACCGTGGTGCTAGCACTTCTGGTTGGCAGGATTGCCTATTGCTGTGCAGTGAACTGGGCTGAGGTACCGATCTGGCTATAAACTGTTACAAGTTGCAAGGGCGTTGTTGCTAACAGGAGGGGCGGGTATGAAATGATCGTGAGAGAACTGTTTGGGTGCTGCCACTGTTTGATGTATAACCACAGCCCGTCAGGCCTCAGCTGCTTTTGGAGTTCCTGGCAATTTCGTGCTCTGCTTTCAAAGTGAAAATTTTGAGTCTGGTTATGACTTTCAAAAAGTCTTGAAATACTGTGCCAGACCAGAGTTTTTTTGTCTCGAGGAGACTTTGCCTGTCTTTTGCCAGGCTTCTTAGGTGTAAGTATCTGAATCAGGAGTTCATGTTGTACGTGATGGGAAAGTGGTGAGTTTCAGCTGTTGCGTTGGTACTGCAGTTTTACGCTGGTACCATGTTGTGCTCGGATTCCTGTCAGCTTTCTTGTGTTGTCAGTGTAGCGTGACACAGGATCTTCAGCTTCTGTATGAATCATGTTTTCAGAGAAAACCATGTGCCATGGTTCGAATCATTTGTACCTACAGAAAGGTTAAGTGAGCTCTGCTGTTTTCACATCTCGTCCTTTTTGAACGAGTATCTCGTTTCTTAAGCTGACCCTAAACTGGGAGGGGTAAGCTTTTCCCATGCCAATGGAAGCCCCAAAGTTTAAGGTAATCTAAGGAAAAAAATATGCATTTTACAACTCTAAAAAGTCAGCTGTTAAATGTTGGGGTTGTTTATTTGTTGCAGCAGTCCTATTACTGCATTACCTTTGCAGACGTTTATCAAGTACATTGTCTGACACGACTGGAGAATGACAAAATTGCAGCGTGTTTCTTTTTGTCCCTAAAGCAGGTACATCATTTCCATGCTTGTAAAGAGGAGTGCAAAGTGAATATTCCTTGATAAGTCAAAAGTTGCTCCTTAACTGCAAATCATCTGTACAGGCATTAAAAAGCTTATTGTCCTTCATGAAGGATGCTGTATGAATTCCATCTTCTACAATATTAATGTGTATTTCTCTTAGTGTTTTTAAATAACTTCCAAGCATGCTGAACAAATTGGGAGTTGAAATGTCTCACTGTATATTATTAGTATTGGCCATGTTCCTTTGGTATTGGCTAAGTCCTCTTGAGGAGAACAGTCCACATCTGTGCAGAATATAAAATTCAGTACAAACTCCTGGGTTTAAGTACTAGCACATTTTTAATATTGAAAGATAATCTGAAATTAAAACAGTATAACTGCATGTAAACAAGCACTGGTTTTGTAATTCTTTGTGACTTAAGGGAATTATCAGTTCACTGGAAATAAATCAATAAAAACAATCACTTTGGCAGTGAATTCAACTCTGCTTATCATACTTTTAACTACATATGCCCATTGTATAGTAGGATTGCAAGCAGCCAGAAAAAAAAATACAAAATCACCTCCAAGTATTGTCCTGAGTCCCAGCTTCTGTAGTGTAACAAAACAAAAAAAACCACACCCTTGGAGTTCTCATCAGTCTTAGTTGTTTCTAGAAGTTGAGAAAGTTGTTCTGGTGATTAAGAGGAGTCTAGTATCTGCTTAATAAGCTGTAGAGTGGTCTCATCAGGTTTCCCACTCCAAAATATGGATGTATCACTTGCAGTGTTAAAACAGCTGGTGATCTTTAACTTTCTGGTTAAATGATTAAACATATGGGGGTTTAAGAAATCTTTAAAGAGAGTTCTGTTTAACTGAGCAGAAATAATGTATTGTTAAAAATCATGGGTAGTAGGACTCCCAAGTCTGAAGACAGTTAATATTAATTTTTTTTCATTATTTTATAGGTGTGAATCCTGGTCCTGTTTAACATTCTTGTTATAACAACAGGTTTTCTCCAGTTATGAGCTGAGAATTGTATTTGTCATTCTGATTGAACTGGTTTAAACACTGGTCCTGTGTATGTTACTGAAACAATGTGTTTCTCTGTATTTCTTTACACTTCCTAGCAGGTTAATTTCTCCCACCACCACCCTTTTCTTGCAGCGTGTCTCTTGAATTATTTTTAAACTGCTATCTTCTGGTTTTCTGAAACCAATATATACTAGGGATATTTTTAATAATGGTGTCCTCCTGTCTCAATTTCTGTACCTTATTTTTCAAATAACAGTAAATAAAGCTAGTTAAACTTGCTGAGTTTCAGAATTAGTATGTTTAGTGTTAGTTTGTGAGATATATTTTTAAGTGCTATGAAGGAGAAATGTTTTCATCTGATATTGTGCACTTTAGCAGCTGGATGATACCCAATTAGTTGTGGAGCTTTAAGAACAGATTTCCATGTGAACTCCTGATTTCTAGAGTAAACATTTCTGCAATGACAAGGCATTGAACTTGTTTCATAAGAGTAGATACTATTTTAGGCTGTTGTGTGCTATTTTCTTCATTGGTCTTTAGGATCATTCTGTGTACAGTTATTTATAAACATTCTTAACAGTGAATATCAACTTGAATAATGGTGGAATTTTGCTCTTATATGTCCATGCAAAAGAAAGGTATCATTTTAAATACAGTTGCTTAACTCTTTACTTCTACTTCTTTTACTTTCTGAAGTTGGTTGGTGGTACAATGGAAGAAGATGGATCTCAGGAGATGGGAATGAATAACCAGGATCAGCTGGTGAACAGCAAGTGCAACGAATTGTGTGATACAGCCCTGCAGCACGTGCAGCCCAACTGTTACAGCGTGGCAAACACGGGCTCCTTGGAAGAAGCTGAATGTATCACCAAGAACAGAAAGCACCCAGGGTCCACATGCTGCTCTCAGGAGTCTCGTGAGGAGACTCCTGGGAGAGAAGAAGCCCGTACTGATCCACCTGATGGCCAGCAAGACCCAGAGAGTGAAAAGCACAAAGAGAAGACTTTGGGTATGTTCTCTTCAGCATCTTCATTTTTAATAAAACAACTGTCTTTGTCTCAAGTGTACTTTGTAGCCAAAACTTGTGATCTGTAAAAGGATATTCTGAGAAG